TGTTTCCTCCTTTCCTGAGAGGAACTTATATTAGCTTTGTGCCCGCGTCGCATGCATGATTCGCAAGCGGGGTGTCTGTTAAATTATGTTGACCACATCGCATGTATGATTCGCGAGCGGGGTAATTGGATTTCCTTTTCAGAGTTCGTTTTCCTATTGTATCGCGGTCAAATTGGTAGCCTATTGGCACGTTGTGGTATCATATGAGACTTTTGACCATGTCCGGGGGTGGCTATTGCCTGAGCAGTTCTTCCTGGGTGAGACGAGATCATTGGACTTAGGATCAGTGCAATCTGAATATGTGAAGTATATTAAAGAGTAAAGGCCATTATTTGGTTCAGAAAGAGGTGATGGTTCTTGGCAGGGTATAGACCCTGTGAATCATTGATTCGGTAGTTGGTTATGAATTTCTACACACCCCTTTCCATCGTGGCGGCATTACGAGAGTTGGAACAGGACTTATATATGTCATGGGGTGCATTGTGAGCATCAGATTCGGGAAATATCGGCTATTGTGATCAGAGAGTGTTGTTATGGTCTTGTGAATGATGGGGTGCATGGTGTGAATTCAGCAAGGGTGTGCAGTCATGCTCTGGTACAGCGTGTGGTGATTGATACGGTGTTTATATGTCGAAAGCAGGCCTGGCAAAGAATTTCGGATGTTGAAACTGGGCTCCAAGGCTTATTTGCCTAAATGAAAGAGGTTATCTTTAGATTTGATTGAGCTGATGTGCCCAACTGAGTTGTGGTAGCACGGGTAGGTGCACGAGGTATTAAGCAGTGATTCAAGACAACCCTAGCACAGTTCCTAGCACGTTCGAGGACGAACGTATGTTTAAGTGGGAGAGGATGTAGCGACCCGACCGGTCGTTTTGAGCCCTAGCGCGCCGTTCAGCAATTTGAGGCCATGACCAGCTTCAATTCAGGTATTATGACTTGTATGCGTGGTCGGAATTAAATTTCGGGAAGTTCGGAGTTAACTTGGAGAGGAAATTCTCATTTCGGAAGCTTTAAGTTGAGAGAATTGACTAGGATTGGATTTTGAGTAAACGACATCGGAATCGGGATTTGAAGGTAGCAGCAGGTTAGTATGATGATTTTTGACTTGGGCGTATGCCCGGATCGGATTTTGGGTGACCCGGGGGCGTTTTGGCACCTATTGTGGAAGTTAGCATTTTGGAAGAAATTTCATAAGTTTGGGTTGAAGTGCATTTCAGTGTTATCGACGTCCGTTTGGGATTACGAGTCTGGGAGTAGCTCCGCATGGTGATTCTGGAGTTGGGAGCGCGATCGGAAGTGAATTCAGATGTCCGGGGAGCATTTTGGAGCCATTTGGCTAAGGATAGAAATTTGAAGGTTTTTGAGAGGTTTGACCGGAGGTGGACTTTTTGATATCGGGGTCGGAATCCGATTCCGAAAGTTGGAGTAGGTCCGTAATGTCGAATATGACTTGTGCGCAAAATTTGAAGTCAGTCGGACGTGATTTGATGGGTTTAAACCTCGAAAGTAGAAGTTTGAGATTCTAAAGTTCATAAAGTTTGGATTGGAGGTCGATTCGTGGTTTTAGCGTTGTTTGATATGATTTGAGGCCTCGAGCAAGTCCGTAATGTGTTTTGGGACTGGTTAGTATGATTGGATGGGGTCCCGGCGGCCTCGGGTGGATTTCGGATGGTTAACGGATCGAAAATAAAATTTTGAGAAGTGCTAAAGCTGCTGCTTCTGTCATAACCGCACCTGTGGTTGGTGGACCGCAGGTGCGAGACCGCAGATGCGGTCTTTCCATCGCAGAAGCGGCCCAGGGCAGGCCAGGCCAGGAACCGCAGAAGCGGCTCCGCAGATGCGGCCTCGAGACCGCAGAAGCGGTCCCAGCTCTTTTGGCCCATTTCGCAGATGCGGTCCATTTCTCGCAGATGCGGTCCCCTGACTGCAGATGCGGAAATGCTGGAGGCAGTGAGGTTCTTTTAAATCGGGGGTTGGGCACCCCATTTTCTTCCATTGGAGCCGATTTGGAGCAACTTTGAGGTGCCATTTTCACCACCAAGCATGAGGTAAGTAATTTATGTTAGTTTTGAGTTAAATACATGTTTATATACGGATTTGGACATGGAAATTTGTAGAAAACTTGGGGTTTGAGGGAAAACCTAGAAAATTGATATTCTTGGAATTTGACCACGATTTTGGGTATGGAATTAAGAGAAAATCATATATTTGAGTTCGTGAGTTCATGGGTAGACTCTATCTTCGAAAAATTTCAGAATCCCGGGCACGTGGGCCCGAGGGCGTTTTTGTCAACTTTTCGATCGGGGTTAGGAATTGTTATAAATTGGATTAATATGAGTAGTTTATCGTATATTAATGAATTTGTGTAATCATTGGCTAGTTTTGGGAGTATTTAGCATCGATTCAAGTCTTCGGAAGGGCGTGGAATGCCGGTTATGGATCTTCGGAGTGAGGTGAGTCTCCTTTCTAACCTTGTAAGAGGGAATTGTCCCCATAGGTGAATCAATCGGTTATGCGCTCCTATTTGTGGGGGCTACGTACGCACGAGGTGACGAGAGTCCGTGCGTAGCTACTATTATGTTATTGTCCGGGTAGTCTAGGACCCAAAAGCATGCTGTACTTGGAATACTTGTAATGTTATTGACAGTATGAATTACTTAAATCCTATTGAATTGGTAAATGAATTTCTAAAGAGGATTAAACCTCATTTTCTTAAATTGTTAAAAGAAATTTTGCTTTTATTTGGATAAATGCTCCCCAATAAACTCTTAATCTGCTGTTTGAGCATGTATTTTTGTGTGTACCTGCGTCGCATGTATGATACGCGAGCAGGGTGATTGTTTATTTAAATTTGACCGCGTCGCATCGGTGATTCGCGAGCGGGGTAATAGATGCATCTATGGTTCGTGCCGCTCGACCCTCGGCAGTGCACATTTTACATTTATGCTGGATCGGGCCGTACGACCTCGGCATGAGTTGCACATGCTTGTGTTGCTTGCCTTGAGATTTATTGATATTGCTATCTGCTCTCCCGACTTGAGATAGTTGTTAATTAATGGATTATGAATCCGGAGACTTTAAATAAAAAGGAACTTTCACCTGTTTAGGGACTCATTTGAACCTACTGTTGTTCTTAATAAATCGTGAGTTGTCGCATTAATAATACTATTACTGGGCCTTTAGTAAGTGTCGAAGTTGCCATCTCGTCTCTACTTCTTCGAGATTAGGCGGGATACTTACTGAGTACACGTTGTTTTCGTACTCACACTACACTTGCTGTGCATTTTTGTTGCACAAGCACATGTACTTCTAGTGGCCTACTGGGCGTAGCAGCATGGATGATACTGGGACTAGGTTAGCTGCAGTACTCGAGGCGACCCGCAGCTAGTACAGTCTCCTTCAGTGTATTGTATTTACTTTCTGTCCAATTTGTATTCCGGACGGATGTTGTATTGTATTGTATTGTTTCTTAGCAATAGCTCATGCACTTGTGATTTCTTAGCAATAGCTCATGCACTTGTGACACAGTGTTCTGGGGATGTCTATGGGTTTATTCAGAAATTTAAACTTTTTAAATGTTTCATCATTCATTCAGTAGAATTTATCATGTATTGTTTAAACGTATAAAAGAAGTGATTTCAGAGATATTTAAAAAGAGAAGTTTCTAGTTATTTGTTGTTGGCTTGCCTGACAATGGAGTCCAGCGCCATCATGACCCTTAGTGGATTTTGGGTCGTGACAAATTGCAAAAGGGAATGTATTCTCATGGAAAGATACATCTCTTGAGACTTGTATTTTCTTGGTAGCAAGACTCGGGACCTTGTACCCTTTGGTTCCAAAAGGTTAGCCTATGAAAACATGTGGGGTAGCTCTAGGCTCAAATTTATCCCTGTGTACTTTGGGTACTTTGGGGTAGCACAAACATCCAAAACTTCTCATTTGGGAATATAGTGGTTTCTTCTTGTATATGAGTTCAAATGGACGCTTGTTCTTAAGATATGTAGTGGGCGATCTATTTATAACGTAGATTGTTGTCAACACACACTCTCTGCAGTATCTCAAAGGTAACTTTGACTGAAATAGTAGTGCCCTGGCTGTTTCAAGTAGGTACTTATGTTTTATTTTTACCACACTGTTCTATTGTGGTGCATAGGAGCAGGATTTTTGGTGAATGATATTTTTTGACCGACAAAAATGAGTTAACTTCTGTGTTGGTGAACTCCAGACCATTGTCTGTTCTTATGGTCTTTATGGTAGTTTTGAACTGATTTTCTATCATGGAAACAAAAGTATATACCTCATTTAGTCCCATGAGAAATTGAATCAACCGTCTGTCTTGTTCAACTTTATGCATATTCTCTTTGGCTCCACATGTTTACTGACAACTACACTGAGTTTTTGCACTTAAGGTGCTGAACTCTTCCCACAATTTCTTCATTTTGGTGTAGTAACCAGTAAAATCTAGTGCTCCTTGTCACAAATTATTTATCTCCTTTTGAATTTCATACAACTTTGCACCATTCGTCCGATCATAGCGATCCTCCAACTCTTTCCACAGCTCAGCAGAATCATTGGCATTCTCCACACTATCAGCACTTTCCTTCCCCAAAGAATTTATAGTTCATGAGGTAACCATATCATCACACCTCTCCCATAGTCTATACTTTGAAGACTCTAGATCTAGTTTCTTACAGTCTCTATTAATAAACCCTAATTTGTTCTTAACAGATAATGCACGCAGTACACTTTGTCTCCAAGACCTGTATCCAATCCATTGAAAGGAACTGGCACTAACATCGCACCAGGATTGTCAGATGGATGCATGTACAACGGACTTCTTGAGTCAATGGTGGACTCTTTGTTTGAGTCCACATCAACGTGCTCGCTTTCGTCATCAACAGCCATGAGAATTACTGAACCAACAGTGTTTGAAGAAATATAAAGCAGAAAAACAGAGACGACTTACTATGAATCCTAATTTTGCGGAGAGAATGAATTACCTCCAATTACATTTGTAGATCGAGCAACAGATGATCTACACGAGCTCCGTGTGTATAAAACTATGGATCGGATCATCCACTGCTCTGATACCATATCAAAATCAGTGACACAATGAAGCAATTGAGCTCGGGGTGAGCTTCCAATGGTGGAAATGGAGATTTGGAGAAGAAGCCCCAAATTAAGAGCATGTGCGAGAACAAATTAAAGAAGAAGAGAACTCAGAATTGAAAGTCTCAATTGTATTGACTTTGTAATGTTGTATATATATAGCTACTCAATCAAAAAGAAAGCTAACAAAAATAACTGACTAACTAACTAATGGAAACATAACTGACTTAGTCTCCTAACAAACTAACTGTAAAGCTATAAGTACGATCTCAGTTTTAAATAGTGTAATACATCTCAATAAACTCGCATGACATTTTCAAGTTAATTAATATGTAGGAACTTTTAGACAGAAATTGATATTATTATCTTTATTATCAAAATTATTACGTTCAAGGCAACCTTCCCTATGATACCATATGCTTGATCATGTTGTTCGTAGCATATATACCATGTAATTCGAGTTTTTCTTGTACTGTTAACCCGCAGGGTGATTGCTGTTGTTAGAGTAGTTTGTATTATGTGGGAGTCCCACACCGATGGCCATAAGCCATTTAGTTGGCTTTATAAAACTTGGCTCATTAAGTCCAATAAAATGAACAATTGACATATTTAGAAGAATATGTGTATTTATATATATATATATATATATATATATATATATATATATATATATATATATATATATATATATATATATATTTAATTATATATCTAAATGACTTGGACTTGGACTTAGGACTTGGGCGCGGGTCGGGTCCGATCTTTAAATAAAGATTTTATTTTTCGTATTTTATTTGGAACAACTGTTTGTTATTTAAAATTTGAATTTAAATTTAAATTTAATTTTTAGTTAACAAAAAGAGTTGTGGCTATTCGTGAAAAGGGGCGTCTCTTCAGAAAAGTCTCCTTTTCTTATCTATAAATACAGAAGACATCCCAGAAGTAGAGTATTCAATCTGCACGTATGTTTCAGGCTTGTAGTCCGTAATGTATATACAGTCAATAACTCTTGAAAGATAGTGATCTTTCACGTCTCAAAGCCTTTAATTCTCTGTTACGTACCTATATTTTCTGTCAAATTTCGAGAGTTATTTCTGCTATGGAGAAATTATTGGCTACTGTTGAGAATCCGAAAGGCTTAATCAAATTGGATCGCTTTGATGGATCAAACTTCACTCATTGGAAGAACAAGATGATCTTCTTACTCACTGCGTTTAAAATCTTTTCTGTCTTTGATCCATATTTGGCTGCCCTACCAGAACCAACCCCGGAGGATACTGATGCGATCAAAGCAGAGAAGAAGAAACGAGAAGAAGATGAACTGCTCTGCAGAGGTCATATTCTGAATACTTTGACTGATCGATTGTATGATTTGTACTCCAACTTAAAATCTCCAAGGGAAATCTGGACAGCGTTGCAGACTGCATATGAAAACGAGAAACGAGGTATCGGTAAATTCTTATCTTTGTAGTATTTTGAATTTAAGATGGTAGATACAAAGCCTATAATAGATCAGATTCATGAGTTACAAATCTTAGTTTCAAAACTAAGTGATCTTGAAGTGAAAATTCTTGTTGCACTACAAATAGGTGCAATTCTCTCGAAATTGCCTTCTTCCTGGAATAATTACAGAAAGAAAATCCTACATTCTACTAACAAATTAACTATAGAACAATTTCGAACTCATCTTCAAATTGAAAGTGAGACTCGTGCTCGTGATGAAATTGTTCATGCCTCTAGTTCTACGGTTAATACTGTTAGTCAGAATAAGTCAGGAAACGAAAATAAAAATCTGAAAGTTTCAAAGAAATCTCTTAATAAAAAGAGAAACTGTAATCAAATACCTTTTTTTTAACATAGAAGAAGATCCTAGAACATACAAAGAAGCCATGTCTTCAAGAGATGTTGCTTTTTGGAAAGAGGCAATTAATGATGAAATGGACTCAATTATGTCTAACAACACTTGGACTTTAGTTGATTTGCCTGCTGGATCTAAATCTATAGGTTGTAAATGGGTATTCAGGAGAAAATATAATACAGACAGTTCTATACAAACCTTCAAAGCAAGACTAGTTGCAAAAGGCTTCACGCAAAAAGAAGGCGTTGACTACTTTGATACATATGCTCCAGTTGCAAGAATAACATCTATTAGAGTACTTTTGTCAATTGCATCTATATATGATTTATATGTACATCAAATGGATATTAAAACCGCTTTTTTAAATGGGAATTTAAGTGAAGAAATTTATATGAGACAACCTGAAGGATTTGTTCTTCCTGGTAATGAACATAAAGTTTGTAAGCTTATAAAGTCTCTCTATGGCTTGAAACAAGCACCAAAACAGTGGCATGAAAAATTTGATAGTATAATATTATCAAATGGTTTCGTACATAATCAGGAAGACAAATGTATTTACTCTAAGCTTATAGAAGATTATGGAGTTGTTATTTGTCTTTATGTCGACGACATGTTGATTTTTGGTACGAACATGCTTGGAATTTCTGAAACTAAGAAGTATCTAACTCCAGTCTTTAAAATGAAAGATTTTAATGAAGTAGATACTATCTTAGGTATCAAGGTTCAAAGAAGTGATAAGAGAGTAATTTTATCACAAACTCATTACATTGATAAGGTTCTTACCAAGTTCAGTCATCTGGCATAGTTGAGTCTAAAACTCCATATGATTCAAGCATCAAACTTACTGAAAATACTGGAAGAACAGTTGCTCAATTAGAGTATGCAAGTGCAATTGGCAGTTTGATGTATGCTATGCACTACACTACGCCTGACATAGCATTTGCCGTTTGTAATCTTTCAAGGTTTACAAGCAATCCTAGTAATACTCACTGAAAAGCTATAATTAGAATACTTGGATATTTAAAGAGAACAAAACAATNATGACAAAGTACAAAAGAGAGCAAAAGGTGAAAAACGCCAAAAGAAAGGAAAGATTGGGAAGATAAACGAAAGCCGGGATGAAACACGCAACCGCTGCAAAATATTTAGAAACACATTTAACTGTATAGGTGCATCACACCCCAACGTGCAATTCCCTATGTGTTAATTGTCTCAAACTAACCGGTTTGTTGTGTTTGCTATTGAGTAGGTTCTATATTAAGGTGGTTGGTTTTGTGGTAAGGTGGTTGGTTTTGTGGTAATCTGGCTTCGCATCCTTACTTTACAAGATCCAAGGGAAGTGTCGAAATGTCGTCAGAAAGTCATCTACCAACAATTCCTATCCCAGAGGATAGCCCGATCTCGGCCATTCCAACATCAGAGTCAACGGCTGCTGAGGAAAATAGGGTACTACGTCTCCGCATGGTGGAAATGTGGGACGCCTGGTCCAACGGTAGAGAGCCACCGAGTGCAATACCTAGCTTCCCTGAGCTACTTCCAAGGGCAAGTGGAACTTCCAACGTCCCAATAAATTACCCAAACACTCCGCTCGGATATCCTACCATCTCAGCCCACTTTACCGGAACGCCTTCTGAGGTTCGCCCCCAGGCATTAATTTCGGGTGTGGCCTCCAACATATTCACTGCACCACCCTCCTCGACGGCACAACCCACTTTGCCCAGCCCAAGCTTTGATCCATCATCTTTTACTTTTCAAGTACCATCCTTTCCACCAGGCACATCCCATTTCACCACCAATTCTTACCCTCAAACACCCCGGTATGAGTTCACCGCGGGATAGGAGAAAACTACAATGAACCTCGAGCAAGAAGAAATCACTCGGAAGATGAGGAGCATGGAACAGAGCCTCAAGAATATACAAGGCTTAAGTGGTCAGAAGAGCGTATCCTACGCTGATTTGTGTATGTTCCCACATGTTCACCTACCCCTTGGTTTTAAAAACTCCCAAGTTCGAAAAGTATGACGGGCACGGAGACCCATAGCCCACCTCAAGAGGTATTGCAATCAACTAAGACGGGCAGGTGGAAAAGAGGAGCTTCTCATGGCTTATTTCGGAGAGAGTCTAGTGGGCATTGCATCCGAGTGGTACATGGATCAAGACATATCTCGCTGGCACATGTGGGATGATTTTGCTCGAGATTTTGTCAGGCAGTTTCAGTACAACATAGACATAGCTCCCGATAGGAATTCCCTGTCAAATCTCAAAAAGAAGTCATCGGAAAGTTTCCGAGAATATGCTGTTAAATGGCGCGAACAAGCGGCCAGGGTCAAGCCCCCAATAGATGAGACCGAAATGGTCAGTGTTTTTCTACAAGCCCAAGAGGCTGACTACTTTCAGAATATGATGTCTGCAATGGGAAAGCCGTTTGCTGAGGCTATCAAGATTGGTGAGATGGTCGAGAATGGTCTGAAAACAGGTCGCATATTGAGTCAATCTGCCATAAGAGCTACATCCCAAGCAATTCAAAGCGGGTCCGGAGGTGTAGCAAACAGAAAGAAGAAAGAAGAAGTGGCGATGGCGGCTTCAGGTCTGAGAAACTCCCGTCCACCCAGAGGTTACTTCCCTCCAAGCACCCCACAACATTATTATCCTCACCAGGATGTGGCTTATACTATGGCTCCTCAGTCTTACGCGGTGATGAATGCCCAACCATACGCTCGGCCACAACAACAGTTTAACCAAAACTGAGCTCCACTTCCTAGAAATAACCCTCCTCACCAAACTCCATATAATCCCCGACCCACAAAATAATTTCCCATACAATGCCTGTGCTCGAGAGCCACCCAAAAAAACAAACTTCACGCCTATTGGTGAATCATACTCTAGCCTTTTCCCTAAACTGGTCCAAATGGGTTTGTTGCAACCTGTACCCCAAACCAGGCAAAACCCGGAATCGCCCTTCTACCGACACGGTGTTTGATGTGCTTACCACTCAGGAGCGGAAGGGCATGATACTGAAGATTGTTGGACTCTCAAAAGGGCGGTTGAAAATCTAATAGCGCAAAAACGGATAGTGCTGAAAGATGAAGAGATTCCTAATGTGACCAATAACCCATTACCGGCTCTCAACAACGGGCCAGTTATTGGGATGATTTGCAAAGATAAGGAGTTTGATCCCGCCTTGAAAGCCATCATTGCCATTGCTGATGTTGAAAAGAAGCCAAGGGCTGCCGCAAAGCAAGAG